TCGTTAAATTATTTCTGTCCGTGAGAAGATATCCGGTTCTAGCATTGTATAGCGAACGCCAGAGACTGACTCTTCACGTTTAGTTTGAGCCACCTTGATAGGGAACCGCGAAATTTTCTTCGCGGATCCAGTTGTGGTAGCCGATTGCGGGGATCGCGGTCGGAACCCCGCTCGAATCCAGCCTGAATTTCCGGTCTCACATCGTCTTCCTCGAGGAGACAGCATGTGTTGAGAAGCGTACGCTTCAAGGTCAGCAATCGACGTCATTGAAGTTATATGATCTCAAACAGTGCTTTAGCTTGACTTATTGTGAACCGGCTCATCACGAGTCCTGCCCACGCTGTACGCAAGCGGCTAATCGGTTCGGATTCTTGCGCATAATGTTCGAGCGGTGCATGTCCGAGTCGAAGTGTGCTCCAAAACGGTGACATTCGCTCTACCTTCTGTTCCTCACACATTGTTCGAGCAGACAAATACACGTCAATGTTCGACTTGGATAGTGAGGCCCCTCGGGACGAAGAGATGAATCGAAATCGAACGTAATGGTGCGATGAATCGCAGGAGCCATAGTCTATAGCGTATAGTGTACGGTGAGCTTAGTCGAAATATGTTATCCGAACATTTTCAGTGGACCCCACCCTGTACTCTCTGCTTGTTTTAGGCTAACGAGCGATTAGACGTTCGTCCGCATTTGTGCCAAGCAACAAAGGAGCCTATTTTTTCAATGACTCCCTAATTGAACTCCAGAGGATACTTCGACGAATCGCTGTTCGACGAGACAAAACCTCCGCCAAGTATAGCTTCAGCTGAGGAGTTAAATCGCCAAATGCTGTTGCTCGCCGGAAGGGTGAGTCTCTCGAAACAGCGGAGGCCCACATGTAAATAAACGAGCGACAAATGAAGGTAGGGGAACGAGACTTCTTCCTCCGAAATCCATGAGTTGCCGCATAGACAATCAGCTGGGTGTATTTTATTGAGGTTGTTTCAACTGTATACCCTGAGTACGACACGGGTCGCGTCAGATCCTGAGTTGAAATAGTTTTGGCCTGGGGTGAGATGCGAGGAATGCACGTACAGACCATGTCGAACCACAAACACTCCAGGCCGGACTGAATGAGACGGTAACCGAAAATATTTCAAACTCACTTTGCGATTCGGTTTCTTGTAGCTGTTGGCAGAGCTCAACGATGTCGAGAGTCGCCAGGAGAGCAGAATTCCAGGCAAGTCATCGTTCAGTCCGACTGGTCAGGATCTCGTTCCCTTGCGGTGGCGGGGAATTTTTTTCCTGAAACGTCAACAGAGAGGCAATCAGCTCAATCCCGGCGGATCGGCAATTTGGCGCAAGTGAGTCGATCAATAGAGCTCATCGTGTAGCCCGGGGCTTCGTCTGGTCAGTGCTAGCGCGCTGTCCAGCATTTTAACCGGGCCTCGATTTATCGATACTGCTAGATGCCGCAAAGCTATGGGCCCTGCAGCGATATTCGCATGCATCGGAACGTAAACCTGAAGACGATCGTCGGAATCGTGTAGCTAGCATTGTCTTTCCCCACCTTCGCAGCCCGACTAGAGCTCGGAGACGACTAGGAATATGCTTACTGAGCTCTTGGCGCACCAAGCTCTTCTCAGCTGAACTCTCGTTCGTCTGAATCAAACCGGGGCCGAACTCTTGGTATACCATACTGGGAGCGAGGACAGCCTGCTCGACGCTGCCCACGAGGTCCCGGAACTCTGCCGACGACCGAGATCATCGAGGCAGGCTCCATCGTATGGTATCAATCATAGCTCATGCTTCAACTCACGGTCAGGCTTCTCGCTCTCATTCCCAGACGGACAATAAATATAAGTAGTTGTTAAGAGTAGGAACTCGTGAAATTATTCGATCAAGATTATTACTCGACTCGAAAGAATGTCTCCGCTCCAGAGATATCCGTCGCCTCGTGGCATGAAGCTTTCATGAGACCGAATCCACGGGACTCGCTGTGAGTTCTTGTTAGAATTGGAAAAGTGCGGCGGGAAGATTCGTAGTGATGCCTGCGCTTACCTTCCAACACCCATTCCGCAGGCACCACTATGAATCTTCCCGCCGCACTTCGTCATCAATAGAGCCGTTATATTATTCCATATTATTCCATATAGAGAGTATAAGGAACGAAGAGATACACACTGCTGCACCGCTTGTTCACGGTGGTTCACATTCTAACAATTCTTCAGGTCGAAGATTATTCATCAACCTCACCTAAATCAGTCGTTCGGAGCTGAGGCGAGGACATGCCCGAGCATGCCTTCGTGGATCTCCATCGCGTGATTCGCGAACTGTCCTCCACGCCGTGCGAAACGAAAAGGCCGTTGAGAAGCGAATCAACCACGCTGTGGCTAATGTTGACGGGCGCGAGGGGGAGAGTGAGCCGCCGACGACGGCTCATTCACTGAAATCGGCGTTGTCAGACTCGTTGACTCTTGGATTCCATAGTCGCGAAACCTGTTCATAGCGGGAAGGACAAGAACGTCTGATTCGCAGAATTCGCCACGATTGAAGACACGCAAACTCCCGCGAATACCCCAGTACTATCGCCAGCAAAGTAGAGAGCAGCCCGCCTACTTTCAAAGTGAGAGAGGCACCGATCGCAGCAGCAATGCGAGGAGACGACGGACTCTTCTGGCGCGAAAGATTGAATCGCATGTTTACCAACATTTCGTCCAGCAATTCTTGTTGTGCAGCAGAAAGTACTTACACTGAGTGTGATGAATTCAAAGCGAGAATAGGATCCTGCGGAGCGAGTGCCGAGTGGAATTCGGGCTCGGGAGCCTGACTCTCCCTCTGGCGGCCGGAGTGCGAACCGCAGGAGAGCCCCCATCGATTACTGAAATCCCGAAGCATCGCGCTCTAATACCATGACGTCCGTCGGAAGTGCTCGAGACCAGGACCTCAAAGGTCTCATATCTCATCTGACGGGACTGCGCGGTCAACAGCTCTCACGGGAATTGAGCAGGGCCAAAGGCATAATCCATCGAGTCCGCAGCATACGACCCCTTCGCAGTGAACTGGAAGCGCGGTTTTGGGAGCAGATATCAGTCTGCCGACAGCATGAGCATTTCGAGCGCGCGGACCATCTGCAGGAAGTCTCTGACGAAGTGCTGGAGCACGTGGATAATCAACCGCTGTCTTTCGCGGACACAATCCATTTTCTCTTGGAGTTATCGCCTAGTCCGCTCGAGTTCCAGCAGGTGGAACGTCGGAGACCTTTCGAAGAGATAATTCAGGAGGTCTCAATGCACGATATCATGGTGCTTCAGCAAGGCGTCCCCGGGGCACTCGGGGACTCGGGCTCATGGAGCTCAGCCGACTCCATCGAAGGCGATTGCGGGCAGTCCGTGGATCACGTTTTGACCGAGAGGGATTTTCTGCCTCCCTCTCAGCAACACATCGTTGATGTCGGGCAGCGTGACCTGATTCCTTTCTACACGATTCAAGATGCGAGAACCCGAGCAGTCTTCCAGAAAGTGAAGGGTTATCCCGCAGACGTTCCGAATAAAGAAAATGCGGGACCTGTCGAGAAATTTCATCAGAAAATGGCTTATCTCCGCAAGTGGCTATCGATGCCGATGCAGGGCAGAAGCTTGACATTCCAGGCTTTCGCAGAAGCGATCTCCGGAGAAGTGAATCAGATACACAAAGATCTGACCGAAGTCGAGAAGACGCCCGGTCTCACGATGCTCCGTCTCGTTCACCTTCTGCAAGCCCGCATGGAGCGACCGTTGAAGCTCTGCCACATCTGCGAAACCATCACTCCGCAAGCGGAACCATGGCTCGAAGCCGTGAGCGTTCTGTCCCATTTGAGTAACGAGACGTTTTTCCTGAAAACAGCCAAGCCGATGCTTCGCCAAATTTGCGATTTACTCGTGAAAGGTGAATTCCACGACGAACTGCTTTTCGATAAGAGCCCTCAGGGAGACGTGATAGTTCGTGGACCCATCCCGGAGAACATGTTCCTGCATTCGTATCTCAGTAGAGTGAAAATGTCCGCTCAATGTGCGTATCACTATAAGGAGAACACCGGTAAACCCTTGGTCGACGGCGGTGCCGACCGCGAGACCGTCGACATCATAAAGCGCTTGAACTCACTGCTGAAGAGAAATATCCCTGTGCAACGGGCTGCAAAAGCGGCGATACTGCCTCTGTGTAAATTAGTGAACACTGCGTTGGTCGATAAGTTGAGAACGGAATACGACACGTTCAACATTCTCCGGCGATTTCAGTATCACTCGTTCTTGGTCAGTAATGAGATGCATCTATTTGCCTCGATGGTCTTCGACAAACGGTGTCTCCGCGAAGTTGGAGCATTGGATAGTTGCCTGGAAGATATCGTAGGACCCGAATGGAAGGTCAAATCTGTGGAGCCACTAGTTCTCGAGAATCTCCTCCCGTGGCCTCTGACGATATTCACCTGCTCTGGGGATGACTACATGAAAGTCAGGACGTACATATTTCGAGTTAAAGAGGCCGTTCATGCCTTGGTTTACATGAATGCCGATGAGCTCGGTCCGGACGAGCAGATCATGCGCTTCAAAATCATGTGCGTCATGGATATCCTCAACCAGCATATCACGATGACGGCTCAGGAAAGCATCACGAAATCCGACGTGGCTTCGGGTCAGGACATCGAGGAAATTTCCCGGAAGCACACCAAATGGTTCGAGAAGACCCGGGAACGAACGCTGATGCATCCGAAAGCGGTTCGGAACACGCTGGACGATCTCGCCCAGGCATGCCTGCGCTTCGTGCGGGACAAGAACATCGCGGTGATTGAGAAAAAATTCGTCCCTTATCTGGTTTTCCTCATCAAATCTATTAGTGAGGCACTCCCAGTGCTAGCCGCTCGTCTTGCGGCCGCGAAATCCCATTTTTGATCTGTTCGATGTAGATAATATGTATAACGAAGAATCAATCGTGTTATTTCTCGCTCCGGAACTGACGAAATCGAGCCCTGTATAAAAACAAATTTCGTAAAACAACTATGCTTTATTTAAACACCTATGCATATCACGCCTTGGCCAACTTTTCAATAGCTCCCATAACCTGCTCCGCGTTGAACCCTGAGACGCTAACGTGAGCTTCTCGTCCGGCCGCTGAAACAGATCTTGAGTTTAAGAACTGACTCCTGACTCGAATGGAGCGTGATCGATTGCTAGATAAGAGCTTGAGAGTCCAATGCTCGAATGACATTCAGTTTCCTCAGTCCATGCGAATGTCCGACGATCCGTAGGGGGTACTCACCGTAACGAGCATAAACTTTCGGCTGAACCCCGCTGCACTCTCGAATCAGAATGGGGAACTTCGGGTTATTCTGCTTGAGGGGAACGTAGAACTTTTCAATAAATTCCCTGAAAGCAGTGATATGCATTTCGACTTATGAATGATATCGGTCATAGAATTCCGGCGGTTCGATTCGTCCGATGAATTCAGTGAGGAGGCGCCGAGTGAGAGACTTCCTCTGCTGGACGGATGGTCTGTGATACACCAAAAGATTCCGAACTCAGCAGCGCTTCATAACTCCATGCGTATAACCAGGTTATTGGAGAAGGCTCATGGGGATTTATGGAATGATGGATGGAGAAGAAGCGGAGGGGCTCGCTTTCTAGACGAAATACTGATTTCGGTTCCCCCTGTGGAACTGTCCCACATGGTTTTCAAAGGACAAGTGCGTGATCGGGAGCGCGGATGGGTGCCGGAATCTTCGACGTCGGGAAGATTGCGGAAGGTCCGAATACTATGTTTTGATGCGCGATGAAGTTTGGGGGTGCGTTCACAGACCGGATGAGACGGGCGACGGGCTCGCCAACGTAGGATCTCGCCGGAAGAAAGGGTGATGAGCTGCTCTCCGGGCGGAAGCTTCTCGCCAAACTCACCTCACTCCTCGGGAATCTTCCGCTCTCTGACACAGATGGACACGGAGCTCGCGGAGAGGCGAAACCAGCTTAATAGCCCTGGCAGTCATCCTCCACCACGAATATTTAGTTTTGACTTTCCCTCGAACAGGAGGACGACGCAGGAGGGTTGCGATCTACCACTGGTCGGACTGGTATTCGCCTACCCTTCCCACACAATCGCTCACTGCGAGAATTATTCTGAGTCGGGCCTCGGAGATTACAGATAAATTGCATTCCGATAGCGGCAATCTGGGGAGAAACATCGCGGAACTCGCTCTTCTTCAGCTCATCAGGGCGTGAGAGATAAGGAGGAGAAACTCAAATTTTCTTTGTTTATGAGAGGGTGATCGAAGATTCGTACCACAAAACTCTGGACGGCTCTCATTTTGGGAGCTCCCATGAGAAAATTGAAGTATCTCTCTCAAGGAGAGGATTCGCGGTTCGAGGAGTCTCCCTTCAAGTCCCGGAGATTCCGAGGATCCTCCATTGAGAGAACAGCTGTTCATCACCCCGCTGCTGCACGGATGCCACGGTGCTAATTGTGTGTGTGTGTGTGAGCGACTGAAGTAGTGTGTGTGGTGAGTGTGTCTGTGGTGCCTTCCACCCGTCGGCTTGGGTTAGTAGCCAGCGGACGACGAATTGCAAGGGAGCCGAAGCTACAGAGAGTCTAGGATTTTTCGTCGTCGAAAGGTGCATTCAATCTAAATTCACAAGTCATTTCGGAGCTGCCCGAGAAGTCATCTGTTCGGACAAGCCACGGTTTCACCCGCTCACAAAATGAGCGCCTTGAAACCGGGCAGAAAGGAGCCCAAAATGCGAATTCGTCATTTTCCTGTAAGTATTAATCTGTCAGCTGTCCACCTCAGATTCTACGCAGTTCCAGCTCAGAAACGAGTGATCTAAGGGAGAAATCCCGCGTGCTGTTCTGGTTCGGGCGTTTGCCATCGAGTTTCAATCGAACCAAGGCCATATGAAAAGGGGGCACCACAACACGGCTGCAGCGAACAGACAACAGATTCATACGTGAAAGTTCGCTGACTGAGTATCCCATCACTGTTTCCACCTTCTCGAACCTATCGATTCATATTGTGCCCCGCTTATCATGTGTACATTCCGAATTCTCTCGTCCTTTTGAGCACATAGCTTCGTCGCTCGGAGTTCCTTACACCCTAATTTTCGAGATGATTTTCTGGCCGCTGCGACAACTGGCCCTTGTCCCTCGAAGATGCACAGATGTCGCTTACCGCTCGGCTCGTTGCATTTTGCGGACTCCGACGAGCATCTCCGCTTCGATAAGATCCCTTCGCCGCCGTAATCGTCTGTGCAATTCGTGGAACGCTCAAGCGGGCTGGAAATGGAACCGACGTTTGCACTTGGATCTAATCACTGCACTCGAAGAATAGTTCGTGCTGGAACTAGGGAACTTGGCGAATTTCTGGCGGCAACATCTTAGTCGCAAGAATTTCGCCATGCTCGAGTGATGACTGCGTGAGAGGAGATCGTGCTTGTCTCGGTCGGAGTGAGGTGAACGAGCGTCCGGGGATGCGGACGCAGGACTCCGGACTTTTGGACAATGCTCGATCGGGTCAATACGATTTGGTAGGACACGATGGCGGTGCTCAATGCCCAGTCGTTTCGGTCATCTTTCGATCTCGACCCCAAAGAGCGCCGTTTGAGTATGAGAACCGCTGAAGTCGTGGGATCGCGGGGAGGTACTCCGCCGCTCGGTTTCCGAAACTCTGCTCGCGCGGGAGGTGGTGTGGGTTCGATCCCCGCTGCCGCGAAGATGTGCAGGTACTCGGCCACGATCCCCGTGGGTACATTTGCTCTAAAAGTCCGTCCTCGGAAGCAGCGTGAATAACAGTACTCGGGACGTGGAACCTTGGATGTGGGGTCCAGCCCGGGAAAAATTTTTGGGTCCCCGAAATTATTCATTCTTTGGGTTATCGGGTCCGTATTCTCCCCTTGAATTGAAGCGGAAGGGGAAAAAAAGCTGAACGCGCAACCCGTAGAAATTACCGTGAGGTTCCTGAGTCGGATCGTTGAAGGAGTTTCAGAAAAATCTATACGTCACTTGTACGATTCCCCCTCCCCTGCTGCCTTGATTATTTTTGGTGACGCTGGATTGAGAAGAGTTTGCTCTTGCAGATGGCGATGGACGAGAATTACGTCGAAGAGATATGGGGTTTACTCAAGAACGCGATTCAACAAATCCAGAAGAAGAACAACTACGGCCTTTCTTTCGAAGAGCTGTACCGGAACGCGTATACGATGGTGTTGAACAAGCACGGTCAGAGACTGTACGCCGGCTTGCGAGAGGTTGTCACAGAACACCTTACCACAAAAGTGCGCGTTGACGTTCTGAATTCTTTAAACAACAATTTTCTGCACACATTGACAAACGCTTGGAACGAGCATACCACCAGCATGATGATGATACGCGACATTCTCATGTACATGGATAGGGTGAGTGGACGAGCGACTTATGACGTGGATTTATCCGAGATGAACGTTGCCCTGAATCACTGCACCCTCCGTGCGGATTGAGCACACGAAGGGAATACTCATTTCTCTTTTCCACAGGTTTATACTAAAGAATACAATGAAGAAAACGTATATAACCTCGGCCTGATCATCTTCCGTGATCAAGTTGTCCGTCACGGGTGCATCCGGGATCGGCTCCGGGAAACGCTTCTCAGCATGGTGATGAAGGAGCGGAGAGGCGAGGTCGTCGATAGGTCAGCGATCAAGAACGCCTGCCAAATGTTAGTTGTCCTAGGAATTCAAAACCGGAGCGTCTACGAAGAGGATTTCGAACGACCGTTCATCCAGCAAAGTACAGAGTTCTATCGAAGTGAGAGCCAACGTTTCCTGGCCGACAACAGCGCTTCCTCGTACGTATTGAAGGTGGAGCAGCGTATCCACGAAGAAAGCCAACGTGCGAAGCACTACCTCGATGAGAGCACCGAGGAGTCGATCGTGAAGGTCGTCGAGCACGAACTCATCACCGTTCACATGAAGACCGTACTAGAAATGGAAAACTCCGGGGTGGTCCACATGCTGAAAAACCAGAAGGTTGACGACCTCAACCGGATGTACCTCCTATTCGCTCGAGTTCCCGAAGGCCTCAAGTGCCTCGTAGAGCGCGTGTCCGCCTACCTCAGGGAGCAGGGACGAGCGCTCGTGACCGACGACGCGAAGGGCGATGCGCTCACCTTCGTCCAGAGCCTACTCGACCTCAAGGACAAAATGGATTTGTTCCTCTTCAGATCGTTCAACGAAGAGCGACTTTTCAAGCATATGATCGCGAGCGATTTCGAAAGCTTCCTCAATCTGAACAAGAAATCGCCCGAGTATTTATCACTGTTCATCGACGATAAGCTGAAGAAAGGAGTCAAAGGAATGACCGAACAGGACATTGAGAGCGTGCTCGACAAGACCATGGTTTTATTCCGGTATCTCCAGGAAAAAGACATGTTCGAACGCTATTATAAGCAGCATCTTGCCAAGCGACTTCTCCTTAATAAAAGCGTTTCGGACGATGTGGAGAAAAATATGATTTCCAAGCTCAAAACAGAATGCGGATGCCAGTTCACCTCGAAGCTCGAAGGCATGTTCAAGGACATCTCCCTCTCCAATACGATGCATGACGACTTCAAGAAGCACGTCGCGAGCAACAACGTACAGCTGCACGGCGTGGAACTCAGCGTCCGCGTGCTCACCACGGGTTTCTGGCCCACGCAAACGCTGAACTCGAAATGCAACATCCCCTTTGCGGCCATGCAAGCCTTCGAGGGTTTCAAGAAGTTCTATCTCAACAAACACACCGGTCGGCAGCTGACGCTGCAGCCCCAGTTGGGCTCCGCTGACCTCAACGCCGTTTTCCACGGGCCTCGGAAAGAGGAGGATGATACGGAAGCGCCGCCCGGCAAAGCCGGAGCTCGGAAACATATTCTCACTGTCAGCACGTACCAGATGTGTATACTGATGCTGTTCAACAAGAAAGAGAAGCTCACATTCGAGGAGATCAAGCAGGAGACCGATATCGCGGAAAAAGATTTGGTCCGGAGCCTGCAGTCGCTGTCGCTCGGAAAACCCACTCAAAGAATCCTCATCAAGAACCCGAAGAATAAAGAATTCCGTAAGTATATACGAACGAATATTGTGTGCGTATAGTTAGGACTCCCCGAATCTCCATCCGACCCCACCCCCCGCTCGACTCAAGTAATCAGTCCTTAATCGAGACATTTCCCTTACAGTGCCAGGGGATGAGATCTCTGTCAACGACTCGTTCTCCTCGAAGCTCTACCGAGTCAAAATCCAAGCGGTCACAGCACGAGGGGAAAGCGAGCCCGAGCGTAACGAAACTCAACGGAAAGTTGATGATGACCGTAAATATGAAATCGAAGCCGCGATCGTGCGGGTGATGAAGGCACGTAAGACGATGCAACACGCGGTCCTAGTGGCAGAGGTCACGGACCAGTTGAAGTCGCGTTTCCAACCGTCGCCGAACCTTATCAAGAAACGCATTGAAGGTCTCATCGAGCGCGAGTATCTCCAGAGAGCTCTCGAGGATCGGTAAGTCGTTCGTCGCTAGCTCAGTCAACAGCATACCTCTGTCTAAATATTAATTCCACGATCCGATCTGTCGGCCATGGACTCATTCGGAAACACTCACTCGGCTTCCCCGTGTAGCTCAAGAATAATTTACTTCACGGAAGATCTGTATAATGCAAGTTCAAACACCGCGCTTAGAGGTGGTCGGATACCTGTTTCTCAGAGAGCTCATCGGATATTCAGACATAGAGCGAGGAGGGCTCATGATCAGACGATGGAGTGATGCTCATTCGGGGAAAGAAATTTCGAAGACCAAAAGAAATCTCGACAAATGGATTCAAATGACGACGCGAAAATCGAGAAATAAATTCAGGGAAATAAATCGACCCCAACCCGAATCCTCCAGATTCCAGATCACGGTCGAGCCGCCGCGAGGATTTGTCAACTCTCAGATTTCTCCGAGATAGTCGGCTATCCCTAGGGAGTCATATTTATCTGTTGTGAGCGAATCCAGAGCGAGAGCTAATTTCTTCAACTTTTTTTTCCAGGAAACTGTACATGTACGTATCATAATCTTTTGAATGGGAAATGTAAAGGAAACTATGTGGACGACATGCGTTGCAACGTTAGACGACAGTCCGGTCGGAGCAGAGGCATCTGATTTCGACGGATTACGTTAACCGGATCACTGACCAGCCCGGATAGGAGAAGATAGTCCGTTTTCCAAGTAGGAAGAAAAAAAGTCAACAATTTATGATTCGAGCGCGGAATCCACTGAAGGAGAGACATGCAACGACCTTCGGAAGCTGATATAGAGTGAGAGGGAATATTGTGAAAATTTTCGCCCTTGTTCATATGTTTCGAATAAAGCCAAGCGATTCCTTAAGACGCATAATCGTCATTCATTCACTGCGATTCCTAGGAGCGAGGAATGTGAATGCAAAACGAGCATCACCAGGGAAACACGGGGACGATGCTCGGATCGATGACATCTTCTCGAGCGTTTCCGCGGGGTGTTTTCGATCACGGTTTCCGGTGGTCCTGCCTTGATCCTACGTCGGGAAAATTGACTTCCTCCGTTGTCGCTGGAACTCCTCACTGATGGGCGAGGCAGCGGGGCCCCGTCGTTCAGGAGCCCGGAGATTTTACACAGTATAGCTTGCTCCTAGGCGCCCAGAAACCAGCTTCAGAGAAGGAGGGAAAGCTCCGGTGTCCCGAAAAAATGGGCATAAACCACACTGCGGACTTCCTGTCCGCTGCTGCGTCGAATGCAGGGAGTTCGGGAGCAGCCTGAGGGTATCGAGTCCGCGTGGCCTAATGGATAAGGCGTCTGACTTCGAATCAGAAGATTGCAGGTTCGAGTCCTGTCGCGGACGATTTTTTTTCTCCACGGAGACTGATTTTTTAACGCATTTCCGTGGTTCAAGTGGAGCACCGCCGAATTTCTCATAATGCCGGTAGGAATTCACGACATCCGTCGCCCAGCGTTATTTCTCTCGACGGTTTCCGACCGTAGGATCATTGTGAGACTTCTCCGAGAGGGAGAGAACATCTCAATGAGAACACGAAGCAAGTGGGGAGAGGCGCTCCTTTCGAACGGCAGCTAGCGCGGCTTTTACGAAATCGACGCCCACTGAGCGCACAGACAGCCTATCCGGACTTGACTCTTCCTTACGTTAGGGATTGTCGTTCATCGCAAGCCGCGCGATGAAATTCGCGACTCCCGGTACTTTCTCGAGGATCTCGCCCACTCCTGACTCCTATTGAGGAAAATTGGGCATCCTAGGCGGTCGCGATCGTCCTCCGCAGATCCCCTGATGCTCGAGAAGGGGATGAAGCCGCCGCGACGCGAATTCTCCCTCGAGTCTCGATCAGCTGACGATGTCGTCAACTGTTCACCAGCTCGTCACAACAAAAACATCGTCGCTGGTCTCAATTGAGAAATGAGCAAGTCGAAAAGCCTCGCCAGAAAGCTCCTGTGGGGGACGCTCGAGGTGCCAGCGACGGGGCTTGTGAGAAGGAAAAAACGCGTCGGTCGGAGCATGGTTCATTCTGCGGTTCTTCTGATCCCGAAGTCGATAAAGGACGGTTGTGTCAAATATATCCCTTGTGAGCAGGCGCGTATCCAAGGTTCTTTGGGGGGGGCAAACGATGACTGCGGCCCCGAAAACTCGGGAATCGGTGCCAGAAGGCCACAGAGGTAGCATGAAACAAACATTTTTGGGCGCCTGCTTGTGAGGGTGAACCATAAGAGCAGGGAACTAGTCATTAGGAAATGGCAGCGGGAAGCGCGAGACTCTAGGTATACCCAAAGTATGTTAGCATACAGAGTATGTTTGCCGTGTCGAGGGACAGACGGCCTGGTAGCATGGATTTGATGTCTTCTAGGAAGTAGGTGTCAACTGCCTGGGAACTGCACTCGCGATGTGGGCAGCGGACTTTGGGGGGGGGGGGATCCACTCGAAGCTGCTTAACCCCTTGAGCATTGAGAACGAGAAGGATCTTCATCCTTTGTATAGCAGTCTTCTCTCGGAGAAAGATCGCGGAGAACGAACGACTTGATGACTCGACTTCCTTGAGCTCCTGTCAGAGTCTTCGATAACGGGAGATACCGTCTTCGAGCTCCTCCATGCGATCTCTCTCAGAAGTCAGTCGAGCCCGGCTCAGACTGGAAAATTGATCTGGGGTGCAGAACGCATCGGAGCCACGAGCAATCAGCGTCGAACAATTGGAACGATAAATATCGTCTTGCCCGGACGAACGCAGCTCCTCTTCAGAGAAACCCGTGACGAGAGTCTTTGACATTCCAGACTCCTGGGTCGAGACCTTTGATCCGCTGGCGGATCTGATGAGCTTCAAGCTCAGCGATGGCTAGAAGGTTCAGAAGAAGTTCATCAGGAAAGCATCAACAGACTGAAAGATATTAAGGTCCGACGTCGGAGACTTCAGGAATCTCTTCTCGAAGGTAGGCTCGGAGCCACACGGACTTCCATCTCTCGAGAATGAATACCCAATTTTTTCCGTTTCCTTCCGAGTCTTGCAGAACGAAAGAATTCGTTCATATTGTAGGGTGAACGAATCCCGTACGTGGACTCCGTCATCCACAGAGCAGTTCTCGGAGTCGACGACAAAGGCACGAGAGGGGCTTCCCCGACCGCAGTCTCGCGATGATGGCCCCCTCCTCCCATGCACTTCATCTTAGATCGTCCGTTCCGTTTCTGGATTAATGTCAGGGGATATCATATCTCTTGCTGGACTATGCTTAGAGCCATAGTTCACTGAAAGGTCAGTCGATACAAAGAGTTCGATGAGTCTTGAGAACCGCTCTGTTTTATGGGGAACTTGCTTCCTCTGTGAGAGAGTACCTGATCATTTCCTCTCGTGGAGCTCGCCCCGAGGAGTCCCTTGTCTGTCTCACGTGCCAGGCGAGGGCCCGGGTCAGACACCGGATACTGGAGGCGTTGACTTCGATTGATTACTCCTCGTTCAAGCTGAATCGCGACGTCACTTCGGTGTCGAGATATCTCCGCTCATCGATGACGCAGAGTGTAGGACTCGAGAATACATTAGGATTCAGGAAACTTTTTTTATTCTACATAGAAAAATGCACACAGAGTCGCTCGCCAAGTTTCATCGGACGAGAAAGCCCAATCTCCATGAGTCGTCGGAGGACGAGGAAGCTGGAAGATTATCCCTGGAGGATCCTCTGAGATTCCACTGGTGATTCACCGAGGGACCCATGAGCTCAGTGCATGTGCATATGCCCGTGGTGACCGTGAACTTGGAAACGGTTTCCATTCGTTGCAGTGGCGCGGTGCCGATCGCACCGATGGGTCCCCCCGCAGCAGCCTGGAGGCGGCGGCGTCATGAGACCTTCGATGAAGAGCTGTAGGTCGTCTTTGATGTGACTCTCGCCTATTGGACAATAATGCAACCGTCGAATTATGGTTTCAATCAGCAGTTTCTCGACAGCTATCAGAGCAATCACCCAGAAGGGACAAGCTTCGATTGTGATGCCGATTGATAGGTCGGTCCAGATATAGTAGCAGAGCATATCGATTGTCAGCACGAATATAAGATAGCAGACGCCGCGGACAACCACGGGGATTGAGAATATGTGCAGGCGGATGTACAAGAATTCGATGGTCCAGAAAACAGCTGTCATCGTGAGAATTCGGAGCGGGAAGCCGGCTTCGAATGGCAATCCTCCCTCGGAATCATCTTCGGGTCGGGCTTTGTGACGCAAAAACTGAAAGGGTAGTCGGAGAAGCATTTTTCAAAAAGGATCATAGTCCCTCCTCTCGGGGACTCATTTTGCTCAGGATATTCGCATTCATTCCCATTAATGATTATGTCCGTGGAACCAGACTTCAAAAGGCGCGATCTCTGGAATCGGGGTTCTCAATCCATTCTCGGCCGTCGATGGCGACGCACTCTCTCACCTGGATGTACTCGTAAACGAATGCGTGGATCACGTACACGTACGCCCGGAAGTACCATGTCAGTGTTCGGCATGGAGTTTCTGTCATTTGCGGTGGTTCCGCGGGCTGATTCTCATGGAGTCTGTGGAGCTCATCCTGCGGTGAGACACGCCTTCGTTGGAAGTTCTGCATTGCTTAGTTCCTATTTTCTTCTATCTCCGCTACTGCTACAGTGGGGAAAGTTCACTAGATCGCTCGCAAAGCTCAAATCGCCGAGTCGGTGTTTCCCGGATCGAGAGCACGTCTTACAGGGGAATAGAGAGGAAGAGCTGGAGGACCGAGGAAAGGTGCAAGGCACGAAGGCGAGGGTCGAAAGGGGGAGAGTTCGTAGAATCCTTCACTATGGCGGCGATATGAAGGAGGATCGAGGTTTCGCATTCCCACGCAAGCTTCTCTGGCTACTGACTTCGCCTAGTTGCTGCAAACTTCGATTCGACTACCGCACAGCTTCCTTGCCGCGTGAGCTATGTATTACAGAAAAATATAGAGAAATTACATCCTACTCCGATGATAAGGAAAGCCCTCGACTCATCCGAAATCGAGGCGCGCGGTTTCAACCAATGGAGCGTATCGTGTGCTGGTCGGGCAAAAATCATGTACCTACAACGGAAAATTACTAGTCTACTACTGACTGAAGAAAAAAACCGAAGTCCATACATGAGAGCTTCAACTAGTTTTATTGAAGTTTCTATCAGCTAATATACTTCCAGCTTGCTATTCGAATTCCGGGGACCTGATGAGGTTCAGGGGAGAGCTTTTCTATTCCGTGGAGTAAGGAGCGACAGCGGATCGATTTCCTCATCTTCAATCGTAAAAAAGATTCCCGAGACTAGACGCTCGAGTGATGAAGCACTATTCAACATCATCTTTGCGCTACTCTTTAATTGTGTCGAGTATTGTTAGCTCAGTGTGCTTTTTGAGCAGGTCTTCGAAGTCTCGTGGTCTGTCCTCATCTTGCGGGCGTAATCATGATATAAACAACAATAGAAGTAGAAGCACTGAAGAATGCTGGTGTTCCAGACGTTCCAATGACCTGTGGTTGGTATCGACGGACAGATTTTCGAAAGATTCGGGTCTTGGATCTGAAAAACCGGAAATTCCAGACAGAGCTGTCGTATGTTGCTCATTGCGAGGAGTCGCGGAGGGTCTTCGCCTCGATCCGGAACGGTCGACCCGCGGCCGGCCGCGTATTCGCTTATCAAATCCAAGCGGGAATTTCCTCATGCGGAGACAACTAGAGTGCGTGAATCATTCGTCTCTTGGTCTGCGTGAAGCCAATTGCAGCTGCAAGTTCAGACTGACACCGATCGTTTGGCTCCGCTATTAGCCGATGCTGGCGTAAGTTGACCTGAGGCACCTACTGAATCGAGAAATGGAATTTAACACAACATTTACCTCGTCCCCGTTTATTGACGGTAGAGGAGATGACCGACGGGGCAGCTGGTGAACGGGAAGTTGCAATGAGGTGACAACTGCCTTCTGCGTAGCTGTCGTCCATACGCCGGCTGCGTCGAAAAGTACATCCTGCAATCAAACTCATATAGGTCCTGAGTCCTGATCTCTCCCCGTCCGACCGGTCGGATCTTCTTCGACATTGTTCCCAATCACAGTGGAATCTGATAAGCCCGTTCGAAATTATCAATATTCCGGGCTCCCCTTACTTCTTGACTCTGGTCGATGTCCGAAGTCGACTTATCACTTGTTGAAGATGAGCCCGAAGTCAGATTGATAGTGTCCAAGCTGAGATAGTCCATTTTTACGGGAATGTCCCCGGGGATCGGGAAAAACGAAGGACTCTCGATCTGAATCGTTCCGGGATCCCTTCTGTTTACCTGTCGTGTATTTGGAAGTAGACTGCATGCCTGTGTTCATGCTGATGACATGCACGTTCATTCATTAATCGTGCTCGGAGAACCGACATCATTCGGAATCCAGTGCGCATCTCCCTCCGTTCACAGACATCATTCGGAATCCAGTGCGCATCTCCCTCCGTTCACAGACATCATTCGGAATCCAGTGCGCATCTCCCTCCGTTCACAGACATCGCAGTCGAACGCTACAAATTATGAATTCCTGAAGCATACTCCATGGCTGGGTCAGATTATAGAAAGCCATTCTATTCAGAGCGCTCTCTCCCTACGCCGAGGCTGGCGCGAGAGGCGACGGCACCAAATTTAGCACGAAACGATTTGATAAGTGAATTAGTCTTGGGAGAATGTCCATGGCAAAAGTCTCATTTGCGGCTCGCTATGCGCCGTGTGAACTCCTCAGCTTGTGCCCATTGGAAAAAGAGAACGTTCTGTACGCTCTACGTTACGTTGATGACGATCCTCAGCATCGCTTGCTTTCTGATAGGTTCGTATTCCAGGACCAATTATCTCTATGGCCTTTGTTCCGCTTGACCGAGAAAGTTCGAACTTCTTAGCTCATCTCGTTTCTTTCAGGAGCCCGCCAGTCTTTTGATCAAATCGAACCGCTTATTATATCGGCCAAGTGCCCTCGGCAAGGAACCGACAGACCGCTTTGCGAGCACTCCTGGTTTTTGAACTCGCTCTGTCGCTTCTTCGGTCGAAACGGATGAGAGCCAGCTTGAGCCTCTGCTAGGTGAGAAAGTCTCATTCTTAGAGATCCTATTCCAGAAGGGCTAGAGTTTCGGCTCCTGTGCTTCTCGAGGTCTTGAGCAGTTCCGTTCCTCACATCTGGCGAACATCCTTCTCTACTTCAGCTCGTAAGGACGTCCGGGAATCTGTGGAGCGAGTCCTAGTCGTTTGAATCAGCGCTTCCGGAGCGATCCATTTGATTGATTCAACGGATTCCATTACCCAGAGAAGTTCATACGATTCGATTGCGTGATTCATCGATGGTTTCGGGAAAGCAGTTTCCAGCAATCACTGAGCTCGGACTCGTGGAGCTCGATGAGCACTCCCTCATCTGGGAGACCCGATAAGGAGCTTGTCGACCTCAAGCCGTCGTCAGGTTGGGGTCTCCGGAAGACATCGTCAGGGAGCTTCTTCGGGATTCTCAATGCGAGATATGGTGACGAGCTGGCCCCTGGTCACCGCAGCGGTCTACGGCTCTCTGACAGTCACAATACTCCTCGCTAGCTTCTTCCTCGGAAATTGGTGGGTTCAAAGCTCAGGATTGATGATCATCTCAAGCGGAATCTGTGGCAAGACTTGATCATGCGGGGACGCCATCGCATTTGAGGAGGATGCTGACGCTACTGAACTTCGAATTCGGGCTCCCGAGAAAACGTCATATCATCTGACTCCCGAAGCTGCCGGTCACGAATTAAATTGGCGCTGACGTCATGTCGATACCAGTCATAGTCTGTGCATGAGCATCCCGTCGATCCAGGCTTCTAATACCCATTTCGAGAAAAATGCCCTAAATGATTCCCAGCCTTACACATGGGCAATGGAATCTCTGTGCTATCAACATAGTGCTGTGTTGTGATTCGGACTCTCCAGCGGTAGGCTGTCGCAGAGCGGTTCCCAGGTTCTCACATGTGAAATATCGAATGCTATCTGAAGTCTTGGAGTCTTCCGTTCATGCGAGACATCTATCCCTCTCAACTCATTGAGTGCCACTGAGGGACGCGGCGTCCCTCAGTTCTCCCGAGAAACCGGAAAATTCCGTCCGGTGGCACTCTTTGTGTTTGAAGGGAAGTATGCCCTATCCGTAAATATCTTCATTGGAGCGAAGCTTTTTTCCCAAGATCGTATCGGGACATGACTCGAGTATGGGTCGAAGCCAGCTGCACTATCTTATGAAAATAGCGGTATCGAATAGCTCGACCCCTTTCGAACTTTTCGACGTCGGCGGCGGCTCTTTCAGTTGACTGCTTCTGTCTAAACACATGTGTGTGAGCTTCTCCACGTTCTAAATTCCGGGATGGTGAACATCGACTCCGATCGATAATTGTAAGCCCTAATGAGGTGTGTCGTGGCGCGATAGGTAAACAAGTACTGGTATCCTCCGACCGACCAAGTCCATAAGAATGAGTTGGATAAGGCAAGGGGAAGATAGGAGCGCCGAGTTGGCAAGGTTTTTGTGCCTTCGCTACCTCCAGATGCGATTCGAAGGGCCCGCGGAACCCTTGTCCTCGACTCGCCCCGTGGATCGACTGATGCTCGTATCTTCCTGCAATCGTTTTCATCTCTCGAGCTCCAGCCTTGCCAAGGCTTTGAGAGAATCACAGAGGGTGGTGGTCACACAAATGGTCGGAACCTATTGTCCGAGGATATCCCCGAAACCAGAGATCTGAATCAGGCTGCTCATGGGATCCTAGTAAGCCTTCCATTCGTGAACCAATAAGAACGTTCCATGGAACCACTCGGTTGAGCCGTTTCGTGATTTAACTTCGTGGATCATCTTCATGGAACCGCTTGGTGAAATAGGTGTTCGCTTACATCGATTAGTTAATGAGTTCCACGGCCGACCGATGCCCTATTCCAGAGAGTGCACTATCCGGAAAAGACAGAATATCATCCATACTCCGCCTGGAAGAATTCGGTACGCAGTCCATTCTATCCGCGATCATGACCATCGTTTATTTGTGCGCCCGGTCACTACACTGGAAAGCGTGGTCTATCTCTTGTATCTGGTGAAGACTCGAGAAGTGAATCGGCGCTACATGGCTCGACCTTTCAAGCTTTCTTTTTATCTCTCGAAATCGTGGGACGACGTCGAACTCTTAGAGTGGCTGTTGCATAAAAGCAGAAAAGCATAATTGTCTCGAATGATTTCCGTCGCTCTGATTGATGTCATTAGGAAGCATGGGTTATACTTCCGAATGTTTGTAAAAAAATGTCTGAATTGATTTGTTCTCCTCGATATCAATGTCGCTAAGGGCTCAGGCGACGGAAACAATTCTGGGAATTGGGCTTTCCCACCCGCACAGCACATACCTGGGGTCTCTTTTGCGAATCTGAGTGCTCGATACGAATCACATACCTGATCCGTTTTACCAATATTCACACCAGGATGCGTGCCGTGATCTGTAGCAGGATCATACCCAAAAGCTGTGAGGTCTAAATCGCTATGTATCCTTCGCCTGACCTGAACACGCCGGGCTCTATATGCCAACAATTTTTCCACCCGTTCGTCCTCAGTTTCTTCCGGGTGCATTTGGAGAGTATGGAATCGAATCCCTTCCAAGCGTGCAGCTCTTCGCTCATTTCATCAGCTCGCGTCCTCAGATGAAGCAAACGGTCAGCTTCCAGTCTCGCGTGTCGACGATCCTCATCCTCTGTCAGACGCGCTCGCGAGTGCCGTATCCCGTGAGGCTGCAATCTAGTTGCTCGTGGTGCATCGGTTCCTAGAGCCATCCAGACTTTCCTTTTCGTCGCACGTCGCGAATAACGACTCAGCGAACTCCGTCTGCCAGTGGACGGCATAATTAAGGGAGCACTTTAGGTCACCAGGCGAACAACACCCCCAAAGATTCCTCGACCTCCCTGAGAGAAGATGGAAGAGACCATTTGGGTCTCAGCTCGAACATCGGAAAGTCCGGTTTTCACCGGATTCACATCCTGTATTCGTAGGTCAGCCTCAGTTTGAGACTCGGATGGAATCATATGAAACTCTAGGGCACCTCTGCCACCAACGTCTGTGGACCCAAGACCGAAAGAACCGTCAGCTAATGTCTTCGTAGAGGAGCAAGATCAGAAATGACTAAGATGACACGGAATTCATGGAATCACAAAGATCATGAAAGCATAACGATGAAAGACTATTTGTCGATGACAAAAAATGGCAAAGAATAACGGGGCTCCTCCAAGAGGGCGTTTTGAACGGAATGACTAAATGACGCAAATGCGGTTAGTTCTTCTCAGATCTGACAGGCTTAAAACCTTCCCCTGTACTTCGTGCCTCATCCAGGCAAATTCCAGGCATAAGTCACTTTCACTTTCAAAGGGGAGACGACCATGACAGCCAAGTGTACATTCGACTTCATGTATATAATGATAATATATAGAAAAGACTTTAGATAATATACAATAGATATAGATATAGCCGTTTCCCCCCTTTCCCACTGAGCACAGGATTTCTCTCCTTCTAGTGACCAGCTGTCCTCCCTGCCTCACCGTTAATCTAGGCGTGTGTTTAACTGTGTCTGTTGCCGCGTTCGTCCGGGTAATCCAGTCGTCCGGGTAGAGATCGAAAACTCGAAGAAGTGCCGTTACGCATCAATACGCGAAACGATCTGTTTCGCTCATGGGAGTAAGTTTTACTAGATTTAAGTCGCTGGTACACTGTGAGGCGACGTCTCTGGAGTTAGAGACGAGGGACTATCATGACATTAGTGGACTATCGCTAAGCGTTTTCAACGGATCGATAGTGCAAGCGGTGACGTGACGAGGCGAGACGTCTCCCCAGCTCGGATGGGAATCATGAAGTGATTCCGGTGACTCGCTCCCTCGGAACACTTCTCGAAGTCTGGGAGCATCCTTCTCGTGGCACGCGAATTAGATGTGACGGAAAGGGGGGTCCTCTCTGTGTTCGTCGAGATTCCCTGCTTCCGACGCTCAGTGAACCGGTTCCGTCGACGGAACAGCTATGATATCATGGCGTATAGTTGCGCATCGTATCTGGAGTCCGAGCCGCGCTTCGGGCATTCCCAGTAGGTAGGTGTGCGAAATTCGGGTGTCATGCCTCAGTTACCGTTCAAGCGATTGCCGCCCCAAAGTTCGCGTTCGACGGGAGTTCTGCCCATTATTGTTCAGATTGCTCGCCGAAGATGCCCCCTTCCCCGCCTCCGCAATCGGAGCGTCTCCCAAATAAAACATGAATTCGACTCCATTCCCTGAGCTTGCTCTGATTCCTGACCATCGGAGGCAATGGCAGCTTGGCATTGTCGAAGGTCTCACCATGTCCGGAACACCTGTTGCAACTCTGAATTTCACCGCAGGCGGCGAAGGAATTACAGACAACATCAAGAGCTACAGGCTGGGGCATTGCTATTTTTTAGCACGGAATTTCGCTCAGAATCCTCGAGAGGGAGCCGATTTCTTCAATTACTGATCGATAGTTCTCGCCAAAGCCGTCGACATAGGCAATTCGCGCTACTTCGTTCCCTCTGTGACTCTGGTGCGAGGATTTACCCGGATTATGATCGGGTCTCGATCCAATCGCTTGCGCATTCACGAGTTCGATCGAAAAACATCAATCTCGACAGCGGAGCAGCGACGCGGATTCGTTCCCGGTTCGAGCTCCTTTCGATCGTTTCGAGGAGATGCGGAACGTATCGTCTTTCGCCGCGTGGATGATGATCTCAATCCACGCATGTCTCGGAACGTGTCCAATCGAAAGAGTCCGTGACAGCTCGACGTCGTAACAGAGACGCCTGGCGCTCCTCCATTATGTTTAGATCTTTTCGGCCTTGGTGCCGATCACTGGCGTGCGGCGCCGCCGAGATCGCGCTCCACCGCAGCACCTGTTCCCATGGAATCGCGACGCACAGCCCTCAACCATTGATGCTAAGATTTTCACATGGCGAGTATCTACTCCTCGTCAAAGTCCTGCATTTGTCAGACAAGAAGTCATGCAAGAGCGTTCGAAGCATTTCTGTATACGAAGCTCCGGAGCGTCGAATGCACCGCGCAATTTAGAGAGGTTAAAGGGAAGAAAGAGATACGCTGATTTGCGGAAGCGACGACTGAATGTCGATCGTGTTCATTCCGTCATCCGCCATTAATGTTTCTTGTGGCTCTTGAGATCAAAAGTTCGTTTTCGTGAAGAACGGCATCATCTCCACGAGACGTTATTCTGCCCGTCCGAATTCTAAAAGGAACTCCATCTCTTGCAGATGTGAAGCATCCGGCAAACGATTCTCCCGAAGTCGAGATAGCACGAACCAACGCTCCCTCCGAAGACGATGAAGCTGCTCCCGTGGCTGATCTTGCCGATCCTGGTGGCGGAGTCTCTCCAAAAAGCCATTACGGAAGCCGACTCGACGTCACTTGGAACATCTGACGTGCCGGAAGGTAGTGGCGGAAACAGCGATCCGAGCAGTGAGGAGCAGACCGTAACAGCAGCCGACTTGCCAGATTTTCCCCTCAAAGTCAAGAAAATAATTAGCCTCTCAATTTTGCCCCCGGACGAATCCGCGGCTTCTTCTAGCGCAGAAAGCAGCGAAGAAGAACGGAAAACCATCATAGGAACCCCCACCGTGGCACGAGAGAACTCGGTCTATCCAAACCCTTCAGACCCCGCTCTCGAAATCCTGGGAGAAAACCCGGGCTCGACAGCAGAAGATAGCGACCTCGACAAGAGCCTGACGATGACCTCTGCGAGTGTAGCCTACGCTCCTCAATTGTCGGCTATCTTTTTGGCAAATGGTAAAATTCAGTCAGACATTGAAGACACCGTCACGCTATCCCCACCGTCGAGAGACTCTCATGACGAGGGAGGTCAAGCCCCTGATCAGGACATGCCCTTAGCGAAAGGGAAGAGCGAAGCTTCTCCCCAAGAGCACAGGGGAACTGATACCGGGGACGAGCCCGGTGATACGATTTCCGACGGAAAAAACGGCCGGACAATCACGCGATCCCATCACGACAGCGCGGAAACTCTACGAGAGAATTTAAGCGCCTCGACCGCCGCCAGTGCAAAGGAGCCCGATGAACCCCCCGCGACAGCCCTCTCCGAGATCTCTAGCTTGGTTCCATCTCAAGAGAGTTCTTCAATACTCGAGCATTCGACGGCTTCTCCCATCGAGGCGAGCACCGGAGCGATACTGATCGAGCGGTCCACAACGATGCAAGCGATAGACTCGTCACCTGCAGAGGCTGCTGGAAGCTCATCGAGTCCGGAGAGTGCCTCGAGCGTAATCCCATCGAGTACGACGGATCATCCGCCGACAAGTGGAGCTTCGGCCTCTCCCAGCTCGGTCGTCACAGACAGCTCGGGGACGACGGAGTATCCACCCAAGCCTGGACCGAGGGTTGAGAACGTGGACAATTCGACCCGATTCGTGTTCCAAAAAGGGGCGCGAACGACCTGCGTGTCCGCTCAAGCTTGCTCAGCCAGACGCGATCAACTCCAGTGCATCGGTGAATTCTGTGAGACGCTCATCAAAACAGTCACGTGCAATCGTGCCGGCGACTCAAATGCGAGCACGGAAACCTCGTTCGGAAGATATACGCTGCCGGTTCAATGGACATGCGGCTCATCGGATTTCGAACCGGACTTCCGGATCAGCGAAGCGAAAGTTGTCTGTGAGGGTTTCAAATATCCCGGAGATAAATGGATCGTCAAGAATTCCTGTTCTCTACTGTTCCACCTTGATCGCTCGAATATCCCACCGCTGATCAGTGTGGAGGTAAAGGAGGCAGACGCTCCGAAGGCCAGTGTCCTTGCGATCGTGCTAACGCTGCTCGTGGTGTGTGGAATGACGTATCTCTTGATCAAAGTCGTAATTCTCAAGCGGAGGCACGGACTCTGGATTCCATCCTATTGTGCGCTCCCTCTAAAAGCTCGGATGAATTTCCGGAGGGAGGAACACACCGACTACGATGAGGAACCGGTTAACGTGCATTTCGATTTGAACGAGGAGCAGACGAGTATCGGTAGACATCGCAATGGGTCTTACGGCTTACAGTAGACTCTCTGAGCCCACGCGAATTGACTGTAAAAATGTTATCGACAACTTCCCGATGAGATCCCATCGGAGGGCTAGGCATCGAGCTCGTGAATCAACGAGAGTCGTGGAGAGCCGAGGATGATTTCCCGACTCAGAAGGCGAAATGACTTTGTATATAGTCGCATTATATGAAACCATTAAATAGACGAATCTGACAATTCTCGAACACCGTTCCTAGCTCACCATTCGGCTTATGCTCCCTGAGGATCAGAAGCAAGAGCTGGAGATATTGAAGACTAGAAACCGAGCTCGTTCAGAATACCTAGGTACAATCGTGAGAGCCTCGAGGGACCTGTTCACGATATTTCAGCTCGAATTTCAGCAGCGTCCACTCCATCAAGGTCGAGAGAAAGCCCTCTTCCCACGATTCTAAGACAGAAAACACCGGAATCAGGTAAGCTCGATTTATTCCGCAAGAAAACTCTGGCCTCACCAATCATGCATGCACTGACCGCTTCACTTATTCGGGAACCTATCAGGAGTTTGTGGCCATATTGCTATCAGCTTTTATCCGAATCCAATACCATGAATTTTCCTCGAGTTTGCGTCGCAGGACTAACTAAGTGAGAAGTCGCGATTCTTGCGTATGTGATTCAGCTTCGTAAACTTCGAATATTGGGATCATGGTCTTGGAAAGAAAAAGTCGGTATTTACATTCGAATTTCTCGGGGGCATCCCACGGAAAACTGAAGGGTTTCAACTCATTCGGGCAGAGATTTAAATATACATCGTGGCTCTTTTGGTCGTCGAGTGCTTCGTTCGATGACATCCAATATATTACAAACTATCGTATAGTGGAGAAGATTGATGTTCGATCCGTCAATGAGAAGGGTATTCGACTTATCGGAATATTCGGAAAATGATCATAATCGTCATCCTGGAGTTATATTAATGTAATCATATGGCGTGTCTATCACTTTGCGAGTCCACCGTTCGGCATCGCTCAGGTTTGCTTGACATATATTATCGAAGTTTTTTGTTCTTCGAGTCGGTTCAACTCACTCATCCTTCGTCCGCATCGTTTTCCTGCTATCACGGGGTGTCGGAGTTTTCGGGTGAGTCATCTACCAAGTCTTGGTGTGACGGGAGGGAAAAATGACTGAGGGTCTAGTGGCAAGGGGTGTGAGTTCACTTTGACTCGGTTGTCTCGGCTCGAGCCTCACAGACTCCCCTCCCGTCGGTTTAGCGAACTCTTTCCCTCTCGGTTTCTACGGATGTAGATCGTTTCTTGCACCGGCGATATTTCGAAGAGAATTCGTCCCCGAATACGTCCCCTGAAATCCGTCGTGAGAGAAACAGTTAGTGAGAGTATTCGCTCCTGAGCACACGTCGAACACCGGGAACATCCGCCTGAGCTGGTGAAAAAGACTTAGGCTGATGCGTTGTCGTTGACTGACCCGTTCGAAGAGCCGAAATGAGATCATCGAATTCCCCTTGCTGCTGAGGAGCGTTTCCGGTCTTCGAATTCCTCCGAAGGCCTGCGAAACCGCTTCGATTCACCTCGGCACCGTCGGGCGATTGACGTTCCTTCGAAATTTTCTCTTTGCGTTTGGCCTGAAATTCAGCAAGACGTCACTGACGGAACAGTCACGGAGATTCCCCATTCCGAGGGGATGGTTGGGAGGGTTCGGCAAGAGTAGGGAGGGGAGGATTTCTCGCGATGGCCTGATCGACAAGGCCTGTTCGGGAATCTGACCCACCTCGAGCTCTTTCTGTCTTTCCATTTCTTCCTTGCGTCGTTTCTGTATTGAATCGATTTCGTTCTTCGCGTCGTTAAAGCTAGTGAGGAAAGCGTCGAAAATCGAGAAGAACTCGTCAGGTTGCACGGAACTAGGGTCCTCGCCGAAGAGCCTAACAACTTCGTTGAACTTCGACTTCATCTCCACGAATAATTCATCGAGTTCCTGGTACTTGTAGGTAGCACTGGAAACAAAGCTCCTCATGACCGGCACGAATTTGTCTCCGGGGATGGGCTCGGCCTGCGCGCGGAGAAAATCGATTTCACGCTGCACCTCCGCAAGGCCGTTCTTGAGGCTTGTCATTTCCTTGGTTAATTCGGCCAAACTGGAAAGAAAGATTCGTGGGAGTTCCGAACAATATCTAGCCGACATGAACCGAGTCCTGATGTCCTGATCGATTCGACCATAACCGTGAATACTAACTTGACTTTCCGGGCTTGACGAACTTTGGAAATTTCCTCATCGATCTTGAGCACTTCACGGAACCTTCTCTGACACGTCTCGATAACGTAGTGGAGTAGGGTGTAGTTGCGGTTCGATGAAGCTTTCGTATCGATCAATTTGTTCAGGGAAGCGATTTTGAAGCCGCACGCGTTGCCCCGGTCGCCACGGTTCATGTAGTTACCGAACGCAAGCACCAATTCGAGGAGACGTCGAAGTCGTCGGGAACGTTGGAGGTCTTTCGAAGCTTCTGTTACAGCGACGATCTTCGGTTTGATGTCGTTGAGTTTCTCTTTGAAAGTTTTCTTATAGCAAAGGGTTTTCAGTCGCTGTTCGTAATGAACGATCTTGCCGACCTCATAGAGGAAGCGGTCGGCTTTCGCGAGTAGCTCGAGCTCGTGACTGTGCTCCTCGAGACTTGTGCGCTCCTCGAGAGTGGGAACGAACTTGAGCATCTGCTCGATCATGTCTTTCTGAAGTTGTTCTTTCGAGTCCATCGATAACAAACAACTAACGATCTCCTCGTTCGACAACTTCAGCCTCGTCAGGAGGATCTGACAATTCTGTGCTCGTCTGGGATCAATCACTGAGAGCTCTTTGATTTTATTGCTGCCCCTCTGCACCTCGGCCACGTCCTCGTTGGAGGCGATCAAGTTCTTTTTGAATGCGGCGAAGGTCTTATCGACGTCGTCGAGGTCGATCTCCTTGTAGAGTTTCTCCTCGTTCACTTCAGACCAAATAGTTCCCTGGAGACGAGCCTCTGGTAGTTTGGACCAGTTGAAAGTTTTCAGAGGATTCGAGGGCTGTGGCACGTTCTTAATCACTTTTTTCGGCATGCCAAACATTGGCGGGGGAGGGGGCGCTCCGGGCATACCGCCCATCGGGGGAGGAGGTGGCGGAGGTGCTCCCGGAACTCCAGACATGGGTGGTGGAGGGGGCGGAGGTATCGCACATCCGCCAGACATCATGGGAGGCGGGGGAGGGGGTGGGGGCATAAGTTGACTACCGCCCTCAAGACTGGCGGTTGAGTCCGTGCCAGCGGGTGTCACTTGAGCAGCGAGTGCAGCTCTCTGTTGCAGCTGGAAAAAGAAAAACAACAAGTCGTTAACACCATATGGTGTGCTGGAGTTTTACGGGAGGTTCGATCGCCCCATAATTCTGTCTTAGGGGACGCTTACGGCTGTCGTCAGTTGTTGAATGTTGTATTCTAGCTCCTGTATCTTCTGCTGAGAGTTGAGATGCGATACAGTTTCCGTTTCCAATTTAGATTTCGTCTTCTCCAAGGCAGCTTTGAGGTCCTCTCTCTCTTGAGTGGTTTGTTCCAATTGTTGTTCTTTACCGGCGATGCTCGTCGACAGATCGATATTTTCTTTCTCGAAACGCTCGGCCTTCTCCTTCGCGAGACGGAGCTCTTCTTCACTTGCGAGACTACGGTGGAGAAGTGAGACCATCATTATTTTTATCGGCGTCCCTTTGATGTCTCGGGGACAGAGGGGAGGGGACATTTTTCGAAACTTAGAGTTTGCATCGGCATTGCGGTTAATGCGTAAGAGGTTTTCGAGAATCCATTCAATTCCCAGCCGGTGACCCCTCTGCCACCGACCAGGACGAGGCAATCAACTTACTGTTTTATTATTTCCGCAACGTTAATTTGGATAACAGCCATGTCGTGATCGACTCCCTCACAAGTGTCCTGCATTATTATCTGCTGTACAATGCGGTCGAACAAGATCCAGTGCTCCACAGATTTCCCCTTAGCTGTCGATGAGAATGAAAGAATTTCAGGATGAGGTCTTGACCTGTCTCGACGTCTTCCAACAATCTGCCTCCCGCGGCTCGTGATCGGGGAGCTTACATGGCATGAGGAGGAGATGTTGCATGAAGCTCAAGAAATGTGGGATCGCCGGCGAGAACGAGATTTTCTGTTCGAGACACGCCAACATTTCCTGAGGTTTCGTGGAGTCGATGTGATCGCAGTTGTATCGTTTTGAAAGTTCTCTCTCGTCTTCATTGCGCACCATCTCAAAGATGTCCAAATGCCTGTAATTTCCGAACATACTCATCAATCTGTGTGTCCCGATAAAACATCCAGAGCCTTCAGACCGTAGCTCAGACCGGAAATATAACGGAGAACGCTAAGGAAAACTCCCAGGCATCGTGTCCCATTTCGGACGTGACCCCGGAGGGGTAGAGAGAACCCTCGCCTTCTTTCCCTCGTGCCCTACCAAGTCCGAAATTCCTGAGCGAGGTAATACTCCCGCGACCAAGGGAGCAGTCTCGAGTCGGCATAAGAACGATGCGAACCTAGCAAGCGGTCACGAACCCTTGGAAACGATATCGCTTTTCTTTCCAGAGAGAGAGACATCCTGGAGCCTCGGAGCCCGTTTTCCCCCCGTCGAACTTTATCGGGGAGATTTCGGCATTTTTCCCTGTAGATTCCCCTCATTCCCCTGGGTGGCGTCGCTGCTTGTGCGGGCAAGAGAGTGGATCGATACGCCCTTCGAGACAGCATCAGGAGCACCAGCAAAACTCGGGGATGTGTACACAGATCATTCCGTTTCCCCGAAACTTGTCTCACGATACCGACGAACGAGGAATGTTGATAAGGAAATGATGTGGAAAACGAGTGATCCATCCTACTGCTCCGATGTGCGCTGCGGCCGTCCAGGCTCGCCATCGCTGCGACAGCGAAATTCCGGGACCCAGAGAAGCAAAAAATCCTCGCCGCTTCTCCTATTTATCCCGTCGCTCGCTCTATGTGTGGAATGTCTTTGAGATGGCTCGTGCAAGACCGTGTCTGTTTATGCTTCGTTCGTTGAAACGAGGCGCCGAAATAGCTCAAATCGCTATTCAAGCCGTCCGCACCCCGCCCAACAGACAGAAGAGATCCCTTCGTGGATCAGAATCCAGTTCACACTCGAAGAGTTTCGTTCATATTCCCATCAAGCAGCCAAGAAGAAACAGAGTTTTTCGGTCGAAAGAGCACGTACCTGTCGAGTAGAGCATTTTCATATCTTCTCAATTTGTCGATGATGGGTTGAATTCCGAGCATCAGAAGCTCGAATCTCAGATGGAGTCTGAATTCGAGATGTTCCGTGCCAGGTCCGTAATTCAGAACGGCGTTCACAAATGACATGATCGCCGTCTTGAGGTTCACATCCTCTCGATAAGGTCCAATACTGCGGTCCAGATCATTGATGATTGTCTGCAGAGGCGAAGACATATATTTTTATCACGGAATACAATTTAAGGAATACGAGGGTATCGAGAAAATGGATGTCATCAAGAGTCTTAAGTCTCCGACCGATATTCGGACTGATACTCTTTTGTCCATATCGCAGTGCGAACAGCTGTTCGCAACGCTGTCCCAGAGAGCGACCTCGTCCCCGTCTGAGACCCACAGGCATGCTTCATTAGCGACACAGCCCAGCGGCTTGTGAGGTACAAGCATCGGGGACGAAACTTATTCCCCTCAGCTGTTGGGTGTGTCTTCGCTTCCCAATGAAATAGACTTCATTCAGAGGTCACAGCGGTGCGTAAGTGAACAAGCGGCCGACCGGCTGAGCAACCCACCGCGTGGGTGAATGGGCGAGCGGGTGGGTTTCTGATGAATTGGACTGCTCTCTAGCAGCCCAGTGGTCGGAGGATCGGCTTGTTTGGACACGTTCCCTACGAGCGACACGATGGTCATCGCAATATCTCATCAACACCCGTCGCAGAACTCGGAGACTGAATTCATGCGAGTGGACGTGCTCATAGGCCGACCATTCACCCGTCTGACCATGGGCATACCTTAAAAATGATTTCTCCGCTACTTTCCAAACGAAGTCTTTCCAGACATGACGGATCCGACTCAAGATAAAGAATGCGACTGCTTGAGATCCGGACTTTGGAGCTACGGCGACAAGATGGACCTAATTAAGGAGATTACGAAGCTTCCTCCTCATCAGGGAGACGAGACGCGCTTTCCAACGAGATGGAGCTCCACCCTGTCGTCTTTAAGTCTCTTCCCCATCAGTAATTTTCCCTGGCAGGAGTTCTTCTTCTCCCAGTTTGTCGGAGGCAAGAGGATGATTTCCTGATTGTAGGAGCTTCGCTTCAGGAATCGTTAGAAAGACCACTTGTCATAGGATAATCCACCAATCCCTAACAGCGGACCGATTCGTCGTTTCAATGTATCGAACAACACCCATAAAATCGCTTGCGTCGCGCCTCGCGGCAGAAGAAGTACTTCCGAGATTAATCAGGCTTTCGTTTCCGTGATTCACAACGAGCACGTGTTTGCCATCTAGCCATCTGACTAGAAAAGTCCGTCGGCTCGCTCTTCGACCATCGAATTCAGTAATCGATGACGATACTGTCTGATTGCGAACGATATCATGCGGGAGAATCTCTCACAATGAAGACATCCGTGGTACTTTACTTTCACGGTGGCGCTTTGTTACTTTCACTCCGGGCCGTATCTCGTCCCATCGCGGCTCAGATTCCGACCGTTCGATTGGTGCGTAAGCTTTTCCGCCTCCCGTTTTTTTGCGCGGCTCAGAGAAAATCATGAATCATGATGGTGCGGAGTTTCAACTCACCAGAAAGCGGGTCCGCTCGCAAGCGAATTTCTGCAGATGATACATTGCCTCCAAAACTTTCTTGTGCCCACCGGGCACCAGACAAACCGCTCCGAGAATTTCCAAAACTGCGATTTTCGTTTTGACATTCCACGTTGACAGAGACTGCGCGATTATCTTGATGGCTTTTGGATGGGCCAAAACGTGAGAGCGACCGGTCTGGAACGAAATTTTCATTAAGGTTTGGTTTTTTCCGCGAGTCTCCTGCGGGACGTCACGTCATCCCCGAGCCTCGCTCATGCCCGAATTTCCTCAAGAGGAGAGCTCCCGACTCCGACCGATGAATGGAACGGAGTGTCGATCACCACTAATTACAGGGGGTGCGACGGCATTGAAGAGATATGAGTGGGAACGCGCGGAGGCGTATCGAGGGGAACCCTGCTTCCGGTGAAACTTTCTCTCCCCCTGTTCCCGGTCATCATCGGATGCCCGTCGTAAGAACTCATTTTGTATTTATTATCCGAATCGATCACAATGTGAGCATGGGAAAGAATACACGCCACCGTACTGAATCTCTAGGACTGGATTTCACTCCGGAATGGTAAAATGATAAACTTCAAATTCCGAATAAAGGTTCCCTCGGATGTGCATGCAGGGCCAGTGGAGTTTTTGGAGGACAACCCAAACTTTATACTTGATAGCGTCACAAGATGGGTGATCGGGATGATTCTTCATTGATCTAGAACCTCAAATGTAAGGGATGATAATCTCACCGAATTATTCATCAAGGCTTTGAGACATCCGATAGCAGAAGTACAGATCGGGCTCTCGAAGGTTTCCCGATCCATTGCCGTGAGAAAGTCCAATAGTCGGATGAGTCCTTCGTCGTCGAGAAATTTCGTGACGAAGGAGTTTGGTTGAGTCCTCAAGGCTGTTTTGAGGCTCTCGAATAAATTCGCTCGGTTCTGACATTCTTCCTCGTTGCCATCGGCATACGGCAGCTGCAATGGAACATCGTGTTATTCGGGATGCCCACGATTGAGCGAGCTTTGTCTTTACGACCGATCGCACCGATTCATTACCTAAATCAGGAAACTCGACGCGGTAACAGAAAAATTCCGTGCGCCCAGAATTTCCAGAGAGGGAGAAGCGGACGGGTTATGAAGCATGATCGGATCAATGACGGAATCATTCAGTCAAGTCGGTCCCTAGAAACGGGGCCTGCCAGGATTCGCCTAGGTCAGGGAGATTTGATGATCATTGTTCGAGAATCAGTCATCTGCTGATCTTTCGAAGGACTGGGTCGCTTCTGGCGTAGCACTCACAATCAGTCTTGCGGGTCGACAACAGAAACGAGGATTCCCCCCCCCCTCACAGCCGTCGCCGGCGCCCCGAAACGTGAGAAGAGGGAGCAGACGTCGAGGATCACCTCTGAGCCCAGATGGAAAGGCTCGCAGAGCTGTGAGCAACTGTTTTTGGGGAGTATGCAAATGCTCTGCTTGCAGAATATGCGAACGTTGCATCAGCGAGCCGACAAGCATTCTAACGAACATACATATGTATGTACCGAAGGTATGCCTGCCGGCTGGAACTCAGTGTGCGAAGAAGGGGAACGGAAAGTTCTGTGAGCTGAGCCTTTGGTTCCAACCACCCCCGCCCTGATAATTATGAGGTTTCCATGAAATCGCAGACACACGGAGGCTTCTCAAGGGGGACCCTAGACTAGGTCCCGCAGTCGACTCGACGAAGACGATGGGAATCGTGATATGACAGAGCAATCAATAACGATTGTTACTCTGACGCAGCAGATTACCGTTCGGCAACATTCGGGACCGGAATCGCTTCAATGGATAGGGTTGAGCTACATGAACGCGCCTGTATACCACATGCTGTCACGTATCAGCTTCTCGTGCCGATTGGGTTGTTCCCACCATCGGAAACCTCGAAGTCGGATCTCCAATCGGTTCCAGATTTACCTTCATGATGGTGACGATTTTCTCCAGGTAGACATCGGGTTGATGGTTGCCGACTACCGCATGCTGCATTTGCTCCATTTTTCGGGAAATGTACAGTTGCCATTTTTTCTCCGGAGGAAGACTGAACATGATCTGAAACGATGAGATCACTGATGAGGATCTCGATGAAGTTTCCCCGCTGGCTCATGGGAACACGTTCCCGTGTTCGCCGACCATCACCGATGAAATTTCCTCCGCTGTTTCTAGAATTCGAATGTTTGTATCATTCTACGTTCTGTCGTCGTCGGTATTACGCCCACACTTGGCAACTCGCTTAGCTGACGTATTTCTGTACTTGACTGCAGGATTTCGAACCTGGTGGGTGCAACCCTAGCAAACCCTCTTGAAAAGTCTGGCTCGAAGGATCCGCGGTTTATTGAGTCTCCTTCGTGTTTTCGTTTTCGCGATTTGATCTTTTACCTCGATCGTCTCCTCTGGATTATTCGTCGTCGATATCTCTGTGACGCCTACGTATGGGTCGCCAAGCTACGCTCCCAGATGAGCGTATTCCGTGGATGCCGCGCTCAGGTCTCGATTTCGCTGTTCAGGGAACTCCGGAGGTACGGATGCAAACACGCTTGTCGCGCTGTTTCCCTACCAGCACGGAGCGCGCCCCCGTTCCGAACGCAATACTCACCGCTTTCTTCGCGTCAGTCAGATCGAGCTCTTCAACGATTTCCTCGAACTTGGCGTTCAATTCTGCTTCGTCGGTCGGCATGGGGGGCACTTCGTAACCACCTCCGACCAACATGGACGAAGGAGGCAGCGTGATGACTCCGAGCCCCCCTCCTGCGACGGCTCCGTTTCCATCCACAACCTGGAAATCAGAAAGAGGGGAAATTAGAATGAATTGCCGGCTGCCTTCCTGACCGGAGAGTTATTCTCGCGCATTCATTCCGGGAACGACCCTGGCCAGAGAGCCTTATGAGGATTTCTCTCTCGCATGGAGAGATAAGCGTAGGTTTCCGCGAAGGCTCCTGGGCACTAGGAGCTGACCGACCGCGGGCAAGGCTGCAAAAAAGTTTGCTTTGCTCATCGCCGTCCACGAAAATTGCCCTCAGCGAACGACCCGAAGCTCCAGGAGCTTCTTGTCATTTCGTCCGAACCTCCTATGATTCTGCAGGCTAAGCAGCTTGGGATATCAGAATGGAGCTGACTCTCGTGACCATTTTCAGAGGTTTGCTCGACTCTTTTTCTGAACTTTTCAGCACTGCGTGATTTGCATTGAGATCAGATTTCCCGAGATCTCGATGTAGAACAGGAGCTCTGAATCGTTTGCATCCCCTTACTCGAGTTCTATCTCGGAATGCGGGGAACCAAAGATGGAAATCGCGCACAGTGATCGAATAATTCGAAACGCAAAATTTCGATCCCACAAAGTCAGCTGGTGAATCGTGGTTAATTATTGATTTGCTCGCTGCTCGCTGAGGGACCTCAGGTCCCGATTGAGCTCCGCATTTCCCCCCCCCCCGCCCTTCTCGTCTCCGATGCAAACGTGACCCCGATTCCGGGAGCAAGCAAGAGCCGTACAGTCACGTAAAATAGACGACGTGCGAGACTGCTCTGCAAGCAATGGGGACTTGATCCGGCAAGTGTCTCGCGCGCCCCAGTCGGAGCCGTGCGTCAGAGTCTTCTCAGGAAATTCCAAGAGAGGCACGCTGACCTTCTTACAAATGGAACCCGATGAGAGGTTTTTCTGTCAGGAAGAGCGGAAGTCACCTATTCCAACTCTTCAGATCAATTCTATACCGGTTTCAACTCTGATCGACCGAGCCTCTCCACATCAGGTGGTCCGTTGGACACGTAGAGCCCTGCCTCACACAGGACCTTCCCCCGGGAGGCTCGTAGGGATCTATAATTTCGAGATTCGGTAGCTGCACCCCGTGTAGAGACGTCAAGTCACTCTAAGGGAGAGCCATCACGACTGAACCTCTCCTCAGCGGGAAGCTCGAATTCGCCTTCTTTTCACCTTAAATCTCCCCGAAACACTTTTCCGGGTCAAATTCTATTCTTGAAGTTCCACAGTTCGTCCGAGGGCCTCAGCATTCAGGCGCAGAGTAGAATCTCAGCGCCCTCGATCGATCCCGATTCGATCGGAACAACCCCGACAAAACTATTGCACGCGCTGCTACTACGAAATAGCCTCCATTCATTGTCCCATGCAGCATCATTCGGAATAGTTGCGCGGAATAGTTGCTCGTCCCGACGGGGGTTCTCCAAAAAATGAGGAACATTGGAAATTCTGACGTCATTGCGCATGATTCCGGTGATAGCGTTTTCAATGAGGAAGAGTCCATCAAAACCGATGGCATGTTCCAGTGTCGCAAAAGAGCTTAGGGCGTTTGTCGTATTTTCTGAACTCTCGAATCGAGACAAAAATGAGAGCGCTCAGGAATTCATATTCATCGAAATGCCTCTCCCCACTCCCCAGCAAGAGCCGCGAAAGGATCATTTGGGGCGTCTTAACGACGGGAGGAGATGAGATGTAGCCGGAGCAGATTCCCAACAAGGGCCCCAGCCCATACGGAAATGAGATACCCGCTCCTAGCATAGCTGGAAATCTTCATGGATCCCGTTTGACCGGACTGCACGGATCAGACGCTGAATTTTACGCGCTCACCCAAGGGATCAAGGATCCTACCGGAGATGCCAGTCAAAATGAATGAACCTATCTCAAGCTCCCCGATAAGAGTTGGCATCTACGGACACTGATCTCGGACCTGGCATGTGGCGCTTAACACAACGCAGGCTCACCCGGAGCTCCGATGCTACGAGTGTTCTGTGTCACTCCGAGTGACACAAGTGGAGAAGCAGAGATTCTCATCGGGGGGAATCACGACTGCCGGCGAAGCATACGACATGGGAGGGATATGCGGCTGAGAAAACAGAAACAGGAAATGATCTGAATGTCGATCATCGCCGAAGGTTGCTGGACAGCGGGTCGAGAGTCGAGAACCATTCCCCGGAATATGAATTTCTGGTCGACAAGCACAACGCCGCCCGTCCGTCAGGCCGGCGCGGCAAGCTATCAAACGTGAGAAGAAGGTCTGTCGATCTTCGTTAATGGTGATGTACTGGCAGAAGAAGGAGTTCCAAACAACAACGCAAGCAAGCCAGCCAACCAGTGCAACTAAACGATGGGAGGAGGGGCTCGTGGCCCAAATAAAAATAAACGATTCCGATCAAAAACTGTGATCTGATGCAGACAGTCTCGGCTGGTTCTTGTTGTGTCAGTCACTGCGCTGCGATCCGCTCGTGATCGTTTTCCATCGCCACCGCCCTCGCGTCATGCCATCACATACCTAAACGAGGACTGTGGTCCTTTCAATCCTTCACGGCGTTCTTCGCATTGAATGGATGAAGTGAGCTTGTGTTTATTGCCATCGTTGATCAGATCGAATTTGCTTTTCAGATTCGGCGATGCTTCCCACGCAGCTTTTCTTCCGTCAGTTCTTGAGCTTTTCTGCGGCGGCGATTCGGAATAAAACTACACTCATCTCTTCTTCAATGAAACATTCGAGTGGCTGTCAAACGATCGGTGTCGAAGTGTTGTCAGCTGTTCCTCTGTGAGGAGCAACAAGATTCGACAATGGATCTACAGGAGCGGACTTTCACGATCTTTCAGTTCAACATTCGCGCAATGCGCAGAGGCATTTGTCTCGAGAGGCATCCTTCCATTCATTCCGCCTTGGGAATGCTCCCACAACAGCCCCGAGTCTCAGACGCTCGATGCCCAGTGGATGTCCCGTCAAGGAGATTACTACTCGGATCAGTGAGCGCTGGGTTCATTACTCTACTTGTGAGGTCATTAATAGAGACCCCTTGGAACGTAATGGACAGACTCAATCCCATGTCCGCAACGCGGGATGCTACCGTATCGTCGTTCATCCTCGACGTCGATGCAGCAACAATATGGGGCATCATCGAAATTTCGGAGATTCTGCCCCCGATGACCCAAGGGGGGAAATCGAAGATGCCCTCGAAGCCCCGCGATTTGCATTCGTTGAGGGCATTTCGCCAACTCTTCGATATCGTAGCATTGTTGCGTCGGTCATTTGTCCTCCTGTCGGCTTCACCGATCGGAGGAACTCGGAACTCCAATATTAAAAGCTGCAAAACCCCGAGACATTGTCCGAAACCCGCTCCCGGGGCACATGCAGCTCTCTCGTCCGGAATCCAGCAGGCGGTTCGCCCTTTCGCTGAGGGGGAGGAAGCTTCGCTGTTGCTGTTGACCCTACCCAGCAGCTCAATACGGCCCCCTCGTGTTATTGAACTCGTCCGCTGTCAAACTTCTCTTGAGATAACGGTATGGACAAGTCCCGACTTCTTAGACTTCAGCATCGCTGGACAAATGATTTTATAAGTCCGACAACAAGCCAGCGATTAATTCGATGGAGCCTCCGCAAAAACCTCCGAATTTACGGGAGAACTTGTTCGAGTTTCGTTCGAGAATTTGTTCGGACGCGGGCTCGGAGCGACTCCGGTCTGAGCTCTTCTTGAAGTCGTCTTGTCCGCCGCGTCTCCTAGCTCGGGATTTTTATTCTTAGTCAAACCTTTCCGCTCAAGCAGTAAAAACCTCTCACTCAGAGTCCACGCTGCCGTCAAGAGGCTGAAAGAGGGCGCTGTCGACGCGGGGTGGTAGCGGGGAGGCGCCGGTCGGTGATGGTGGAAACGCCGCTGGGCGGGGAGGGGCGAAAATCCCCCCCGGGCCGACCGAGTTCGATGAAGCGAGAGCATCGTTTTGAGCCGGCAGGGTTCGTAACTCGAGTTCCGGGATACTTGTCCGGCAACAGCGTCTCGATTGGCTGCTTCGAACAAGCTGCTAAGTCCACAGCCGGAATTCTCCCGAGTTGAAACCACGAAGATCTGTTTTCGGGAGTGATTCGAAGATTCCACCAACTGAGGAGGCCCGTTGAGTTCTTTGACCCCTCGAGACCAATTTCGGGGCTGAGTGAGGTAGATCTTGCGCCGAGCTCCTCACTACAAACGGGAAAATACCTTCTTTCATTACGGAGGTATCCGTTTGACCAACACGCGAGCTCCATTTGGGAAGGGAGCGTTTGCCCCGGGGCCAAGTCTCCCGCGCCGCCATCCGATTGCAATGCTATGAACCCACTCGCAGGATCGACTTGCGAACCGACGCGGGGGGAAGGCGCTCCCGAGCCGTTGGACCCACAAACAATCGAACAAGAGCACATGGTACCACCCCGCGGGTGAATATCCCTTGGTCGGGTCAGACCAATGAATAAGACAAGTTTAGCACCGCGAGGCGGTTGGTCACATTAGGCGAAATTCGCCGAACGACCCAAACAAACAAACAAGCTGAACAACCCGTGCTCAAAGAGAAGAGAGATTCCGGAGACAGAGGCGGCAGACGGGTGTCTGACCGCTCCAGCTGGGGGATGGCCAAGCACAGCATGCAAGGAAGCGACCCGAAGTCATGGAGCTTCGGGATGCTCATAAGCAAGAGCCGCCTTGTTTCCTTCCTCGAGATGGATCAGGTGTGATCTCTCAACGCTTCCACGCGCTCCCTCGGCGAGTCAGACGCGTACACTTAGTTCATATGGGACCGAGCTGAAACACTATTGCACCGGGTCTGATTCTGTACCAGGTACAACTCAATTATCCCGAATCAGACCGTTGAGCTGGTTGCTCCCAATGGGAGGTTGCTCGGGTCGACCCACTGACTTCGTTGCCCATGAAGTTCTAGAAAACGAACGCTAGGATCATTTCCTGACCGTCGACCGACTCACAGATTTAGGATGGCAAGCTCGAATAAATATATTTTCGTCGGACGATTATTCCGCCGGGATTCCGTCCGTGTAGTTCCTCCAGGATCGTTACCAGGATGTGGACGAATCGCCAAAGTCAGCTCCACCCAGTCGGACATTCATCCCCCTGCTCCCCATCTCGATAGGTAGACTCTGCTGCAGTTCACAGCTGATTCAACCGACAGCCCCACCGAGTTTCAATTCGGTTGAGCACTGGCAGAGCGAAGGTTTCAGTGAGTTCGGAAAAACGAAGTGGTCTTACCTGGTAAGTGATCTCCGGAGGTTCCTTTGTGGTTCCCCCGAAACACGAGCAGAGTGTGGATGAAGCGAAGCCCGAAGCATGTTTCCGGGCTTGATTAGCCGCCGTTCGTGCAGCTGCGGCTGGCATCTGGATCGAGAGGACAAGGTGCTGGAAAGAAGAAAGATCTCTTAGCAGAGGCTCTGCGTCTGGAATAATCCATCTTCGATACGTCTACCGTGGAAGTTTTCGTAGAGAATCGCGAGAGACATCAGACCCGAGTCGAGGCTTCTGGGGACATACCGCATGCCGTGGGCTAAATCACAGGAGGAGGGAAGGGTCGAGTAAGGCATCCCCCGACAATTGTCTTCCATTTGCTTATTGTCTCTTGGATATGAATCACCGCTTACTGTCCACCAGCATAGCCCGTTCTCTGACCTATGGGGTCGCTCATGAACTCCACAGCGACATTCGGACCCGTTTCTCTCTACATACTCTCTGTTTATTAACAGAACGAAGGCGGTCTAGTTCTGGGCCTCTCATCGGGAGATTCATCGTGGCTGGACTTTTTCACGAAAAGGAAACATGGCTGTCCTCTTTGGTTCCTCTTTCGTTTTTCTGAGAGTCAGGAAGAACTCTCGAATGAATTCGATCCCTCGAGAAAATCGAAGGGGACAGCTCGTCTCACGATCGAGCTATTTCCGTTCGTCATCCGTAAATAACGCATCCTGCGCTCGGTGGGACGGGGAAAGGCAAGCCGGAGGAAGATGGTCGGACATGTACCCATGAGAAACTCCTATCGCAGTCTCCATAAAGCGGGAAACGATCTTTGCATCCTGAAGTTCCCCATGGAGTGCGCGGACCCGGAACCCCGAAGTTGAATACTCATTCTACTGAGTCATGGTTCCGAGTGCTTCCATTCGATAAAACGATGCGTCTTGGACTCGGGGGTTGAAAGTCGCGGTCTGATCTTTGCTCAAGGATGCCAGCAGATTCATGCGCGCCTATGTTAGCCGATGCTCGTAGGTTTTCCTTCGTGCACTTTTCCGAGCTCAGGAAGCGCAAATCTTTTCGACAAAAGTCTGACAAGAGCCCCCACGCGGCCATGACGCCATCACAGGAGGGCAAACAAAGCTTGAGAACACCCGTCATTGGGACGGCTTGCTCGAACTCAGAATGTGATTCTACGAAACGAATCTTCTTCGAGGAATTCCGCTCATTGTATCTCAGCAGATCCTGAGGATTCGGGGGTCCGTTCCCCGACCGCTCGGCAGTCGTAACATCTCGCGTGGGTTCTGACCACTCCTTACTCGGAGTCAGCAAACGTCAATATCCCCTCGGAGCCGACAACGGAGGAAAGACATCCACACACAGAGGAGCGGATAATTTATCGCCTTCTGATGCTTCCGATTCGAGAGAGACAACGATTTCCTCCAGCCGGCGTGGGGAGGGACTCGAAATGACCATTCCAATGTTGTGCGAAGTTCTACGCAGATGACGATCCTATAGGGGATAATCCGTCAGTGGAGAACTCGTGGTGTTCAAAAAGTAACAATGCCCATCAGTCCCGCTCCTCATTATCAACGAGCGGATCTGAATGCTTAGCATGAGACCACTGAGAACGTGCGTATGCGACTCCGCGCAGGTGAGCCCTGAGCTCTGACCGTGATCAACGAACCGGACTCTCCCCTCATGGGGAGACATACGCAGGGTAATCGTCCCGGCCTCATCGCAGCCAGATGTCATGAGGGCTAAATCCGAGGAAGAGAAGCTCTTATACGTTATGTCTCCTTCCGCAATAGGACTTCATGTCCATGATATTTCGGCCAGCATCGGATTCTGTTTGCCGAAACGAGGACACGCTGAGCCGCAGAATTTTTCTTGAGATGAACCCGTCGACACGTGACAAGTTTCGCGGCGTCGGTCGATTACGAAAGGCTCTCAAGATATGAGTCAACGACATTTTGACATGTCCGTCGATGCCGTGAGCGAGCCGAACGTCTCTTGACCCGAGAGAAGGCACACCTCAATCAAATATCGAGATCACTCAAGTACCTACTCACTCTTGAGCACACGGAACTTTTTTCAGTCGAGGTCTCCACGAAAAACGACGATTTAGAGGTCGGGAGCTCGCTAGACAGACTTCTCTTAGGTTTTCGAGTTGCACGGACGATCCTCCGCCGGCCGATCGAATCGTTTTCCGAAGGATGCATATGGTCGAGCCTATTGCACCGTGATGGTAGGTTCTGGCTCCCTACTTCACCCTAGACAATTACTCATGCGAGAGATCGGAGTCGACTCGAGAGAGAATGCGATACGAGTAGCCGGGAGGAAAAAAGCCCCGACCATGGCACATTCCGCCGTGATTCGGCATCCTTATCCCAATTATATAATTTCTCGTCGCGAGCCGCCAGCATATATATGTAGGCTTTTTTTAGGTTCCCTACATCAGCGCGGTGCTGAGCTTGAATTTTTTCTCCGCGCGGCTCCGGGTCAAAGCGTCATGTATGCAGCAGTGGTGTTTCGTCAGCAGCTTCCGCTGCCGGAATTCATGTTTTCTGCTGCCAATGTCTATGTCTGATCCAGGCGGGATCACGGGGGAAAAAAAGCAGAGGAAAAGATCATGGGACGGAGAGGAACTGGAAGCGAGCCTTCGCCTCCCGGGGAGTACGTCGGCTTCCGCTAAGAATCCCGATTTGGTAGCTCAGACCCCGCTTCTATTCTCAACTCCGATTTCCCAATGCCGAAAGCCGACATGTACGACGGGACTGTCGTGTCTCGCGAGCGTCAACGGATATAAGCGCGACACCGCGATGCTCTTCCGCTTGCATCCGACTCGAAGGGTACCGAGTTTCGACTCCGGGATTGGACAATCATGTCAGCTCTGGGGCACCTCTCTAGGCGATCAACATTTAACGCATCCGGCTCATCAAGAGGCATGCGGATGGTGACGGCTTCGACGTCCGCCTCAATCTCATCTCACATGATATGAGACGGGCACGTCGGCAGACGAGCGGGGAAGGACAGAAACATTTCAATCTGAATCATTTTTTGTCTTCCTCAGCTGTCTTCCTCTGAGCCGTTGTCAAGTGAGAGTCGTAGCCCACGGGGCGGATGACGGCCGGCATTCAAACGAGCGGACAACGACGATAGGCACCGCGGAAAGGGAGGCGAGCGGGCAGGCCGGCCGGCCGACCGACCGTGTGCTGGACGAGCGAGCGAATGGACGATTTTCTTCTAAACAAAAGATTTCTCTCCTGATTCATTCATTACTCCCTTCCTTCAAGCAACAAAGCGTCTTCTGAAGAGAGACGGCACTTCAATGAGCGAGAATCGTTTGCTTGTTGTTGCCACCGCTCATTGTTTGATATCACCTGTGTGAGCTTCCGATCGGGGGCTTTCTCGCCGACTCCTTGTCACGTGAAAACGGACGTGGAAGATCATGGAGCTATTCATAGCCATTCGCTATAGCTTGGTCGATCATGAGATCCGCGTCTCTCCTATAACGCATGAGTATCAGCCCGTCAACCGTTTCAAGAGGACGGGGTGAAACGCGCGACATTTCTCTTCCAACATCAGGATCAGTGCCTAGCGTCAGGTAGAAATCCGATTGCTACAGACCGAGTCCATCAGCAGCAACTACGTGAGCTTGCTCCTCTCTCATCCCAACAGGCACTCTCATTAACCGAGCTTACTCAAGTCATTGGCTACCGATTGGCGTATCGGGATTGTGGACGGTCCTGCTCAATAGGATGTCCCCTTGCTCGACTGCAGCAGGAAGGCTCCTCGGTTATTTGTCTTGGAAGCTCGGGTTCTCGAGAAGCTCGGAAACATCGATATCGGACTGACACTGGACACTGGACCCCGGTAGATCTTTTTGGACTCAGACGGGCAGCGAGAAGGCTCGAATGGCATCTGGCGATTATCTTCACTCGTTATCAGCAGGTGAGCACGGTGCTCCCGAACCCCCGACAGAATGCTGACGGTGATTCGCCGCAAGCGCGCAACAGCGTTGGGGCGCAGAGCCGGAAGCCGCTGTATGTAATTATTCGGAGACGCTACGCTCCTATTTGGGAAATCTCGGAACCTATGTCGCATTAGACTGGACAATAAGGCAACTGGATCTGCAATTGCTGTATTCAGAGGAGGCAACACGGCTGCTCCGACGTTCGGCCAAGAATAACCCGATTAGGACGGTCTCGGTATGGAAATACCGAGAGGACTTGGGCCTTGAAAGCGCCAAATTTCGGGGACCGTCCTCAAAGAATGCTCGTGTCCGCGTCCCAATGCCTTGCCGATTCCTTTGAATTGTACTGCTAGGCTTCCTTGGACCTGATGGATACGCGATCGTCCGCCCGATTTTCAATTTACGTCAACGAAAACAGTCATTCCACTCCATATCAAGGTTTTGTCTCAGCAATCTCTCGCGTGACCTGAGTTTCCCCGTGATGGACGCCAAACTTCGGAAATCACATTTAATCGGTCCGAGTATCGTCAGAGAACATCAATTCCGATCTTCCGATTCAATTCTTCATGGTTGAGCATGCAGCGTTCCCTTGTCGTAGTGGAAAATAGCCGCGCCTATGGGATCGATTCCCTATTGCTGCTCCATCATTGATTGTCAATCCGGAGCATCTCTGGAGCCTACTTGGCAACAGCCACAATGTCCGTTGTCACAACAATCCGGAGCTATGCGGCGACAGGCCGTATACATAATGGTGGGCCCCGTAGCTGACTGGTGCAGCCAATGTCCGACGGAAGCTTTCCCGAAACCCCGATTGACTCTGACCGTCCCGTCGATCTTCTGACGGATTTCCCCTTCCCAAGAAAATTATCGATTGAAGGAGGAGAAACTCCATTCCACGATCGCTCCGATGGTGTGGATTTTGGCTCTCTGGGGATTTCCAATGTTCGGAAGTTGAAAGAGGATTCGATCCCTCAGCGTTACCAGAAAGTGAACAACAAATTGAAATTCGCATCTCATCCCGAAATCGAATGGATCATTTCCGTGTTTGTAACTTCAGATATTACCGAACGACGCCCATCAAGCCGGCCGAAATTCGCCGTAACTACCGCACGATGGCTTCCGGCGCATCTGCAACAGACATGCGGGTAGTAGCAGGAACGTGACGAGAATCTCCGTCGCAAAGGACGTCAACGCTGCA